ACCACTCGCTGGGGAAGGATATCATGTTTGGTAAGGTGGAGGGTCAGAGAAAAAGAGGAAGACCCCCAACAAGATGGATTGGCCAAGTGGCAGCATTGGTGGACTCAAGAGTGGCAACAGTAGTGAGTTTGGCCCAGGATTGGACAGTGTTTCTTTCCGCTGTGTATAAAATCGCTATGCATCAGGACCAACTCAATGGCACCTAACAGCAACAACAACAGCCATTAGACAAAAGTGTAAGTATCTGAGCCTTTTAGCAAAAAATTGTTGTTAAACCTTTCTTTGAACTTTTGGAGTGTGACTTACATATGGGTGTATAACTTACTGATGTCTATAGAGTGTTTTAACTCCGCTTCTGCTCACCATTCCTCAGGATGATGGGCTAAGCATGGCTGTGCTTTGTTTGGGTCCTTAGGGCGCCATTATTATCCATGAAGTTTATGAAGAAGGGGCAGCCTGCAAAGACGGGAGACTCTGGGCTGGAGATCAGATTTTAGAGGTACACACGGCATTTGTTTGACCTTCACAGATAACAAAGAAAAGTCTTCTCTCTCTCTCTCTCTTCGGGTTTGGTTTTGCTCGCTTGCTTGCTTTCTTCCATCTTCCTTCTTTTTTGGTTAGCACTTTATCTCATTTGCGTTGTTCCTCACAGTGCACATTTTTGTACAGGTGAATGGCATTGACTTGAGAAAGGCCACACATGATGAAGCAATAAATGTCCTGAGACAGACTCCACAAAGGGTGCGCCTGACCCTCTACAGAGATGAGGCCCCATACAAAGAGGAGGACGTGTATGACACCCTGACCATTGAGCTGCAGAAAAAGCCCGGAAAAGGCCTGGGATTAAGTATAGTTGGTAAAAGGTATGACTGAAGAGAAAACACTTGTGGAAACCATTCAATTTTGACCTTTTGGAAATGACTGAGCTTATCTTCAGTTGTTGTTAAGTGTTGTTGAGTTACTTCCGACTCATAGCTGCCCCATATTGGGTTTCTAAAGCAAGGCTGGTGAGTTTGAACTGCCAACCTTTCGGTTCAAACTGGCCAGTGTTCCAGTGCATTTTCCTGCAACATCACATCAGGTTTTCATATCTAGAGTCTTTATCAACTGCTAGTGTTCTGTACATAGCTATATTCAGCTCACCTCCCAATTGAGGGTCAAAGTACATTGGTTTCAAACTTCTTAAGTCAGTATTTTGAGAGATTTTGAAGGTTCTCAACAATTCCCAATAAAAAATCACTTGGTAATTTTTTAATATATGCTGCATACCAGGTAATACGCTATGTATGGGGGAGCAAGGTTAAATAGGACATGATCTAGGACTTCAAAAAACCCAGAGTCTGGTGAGCATGAATGAAATACATTCTTGCAACACAGAAAAATAGTAAGTTGAATGACAGAGATGCATTGTAGGAGAGTCGTGGAAGCAAGCAAGGGATAAAAGGACTATGTGGCCCTGTTTAAGAGAGGTGGAATAAAGAAAATTTCCTGGAATACAGATCCCTGAGCAGAAGCTGAACGTGATACATGATAGTTTATTAAAGGAATTTGAGGGTATGTGTAGGAGAAGGGTCCAAATGATGAGGAAACCATAGAGGCCAACAGCATGCCATGAGAAGCGAAATGAAAGCATAATGTAAGGGGTCGGGTGGTTCATTAATGCCCATATACACAGTACCCAATTGACCTAAAAATCTCACATTTTTCTATTATTAATGAACATATAATCCAAAAGTCTCCTAATATTTCCTTCTCTTCATATCATTAGCCGCTGTAAATCTAATGCTCAGACTATACCAGATAGTTAGGCATGTGAAGTCAGCACTCATTCTCTGACTGCCTCTCAGTGAAAAGCTGAAGCTTCTAGAACCTGCAACAGCCTGAGTTAAAGTCACCTTTCTTCAGCCCTCAGGGACCCACAGTCTCGAAGCAGTTCCCAGTGATAGCTTTGTTTTTCAAACATTTGAAGAAGAGTGACTTTCCTGTCAGAATGCCCCCTCTTGAAGTACCCATTCTTCAGACTGCCCACCTCAACAGTCTGCTCACTTGTTTCCACCCTGAGATTTCTACATGCAAATCAAAGGACATTTATATCTGTGTGTTTTCCAGAGACAATGAAGCCTGTTTTTTTTCTTTTTAGCACAAGAAAGAATGTAAGAGTATTATTGAAGTCTCAGTAGGAATATGTCTGAAAAACTCAGTACTTCTTTTGTAATATAGTATTAGAGGTCCAGTTCGTGTGCAATACGGGGCAACTGAAATTTGGTTTGGATACCCGAATACTTCGACATGTGGAGTCATCAGGTTGCTGTACATTGTTGTTGTTTTGTGTCGTAGAGTCGGTTCCAACTCATAGTGACCCGATACAGGGTTTCCGAGGCTGTAAATCTTTACGGGAGCAAAATGCCTCATCTTTCTCCCACGAAACCGCTAGTAGTTTCGAACTGCTGACCTTGCGGCTCACAGCCCGATTTGTGACCCTGTATAATAGAGGACTATGCTACCAGTGCTGTACAGTAATTCATTAATGAATCACAAATTATTTGCCTTGGGAAGAGCATACAGATACTATCTAAGCCAACACTCTTGCTCTAAAGATGGGAAGAAGCAGAAAATCAGATGGTAAAATGGCATGTTTAAGGTCATGACCTTGGCAAGAATAAGAGATACAATTCAGGATTTACAGTACAGTTTTACTTTCAGTTATCTTTGTATTTTATCAAAAATGCTTGCAGTATTTTTATTTTGTTTTTAACAATTTTATGAAAGAAAGGAAGATTGGGTAAAGACTAGTGCTTATTCATTTTGTATAAATCTATCTTGTGTTAAAGTTAGATCCATAATGATTAAGTAATGCAGGAAGAGGGGAACTGCACAGAGGGTTTCCAGTGGACATCGTGGTGTGTTGCTGCTGTAGGAGAAGCACTGGCCTGCTAACTGCAAGGTCAGTGGTTCAAACCCACCGGCCACTCCTTGAAAGTCCTCTATTATACAGGGTCACGATGAGTCAGAACTGACTTGATGGCACTTAGCAATAACAGCAGTCTTTATAGAAGCAGACTGCCACATCGTTTTCCCAGAGGGCTGCTGGTAAATTCGAACTGCTGGTCTTTCAGTTAGAAGCTGAATGCTTAACCACTACATCACCAGGGCTCCTTAGATTCATAGATTAAAATAAAAGACATTACAGAAATTTGGGGTAGTCAATGGATTGAGTTGCTATGTTGTGGTGTGTTGTTGAGTAGGTTTTGACTCCAGGTGACCCAATAGGATCTAGTAGAACTGCCCCTCTAGGGTTTTCTGTGCTGCAATCTATAGGATCAGATCTCCAGGTCTTTTCTAGTACAGACTGCAGGCAGATCCAAACTACCAAACTTTCCGTTATTAGCCAAGCACTTAATCATTGCACCACCAGGACCCTTTAGTTGATACATACAACAGTTATTTTCAGTTATAATGATAATAATAGCAACAAATATTTTTGTGGCCACAGGTAAGACCCCATATAAGGCTTCTTAATTCAAGAACTATAATAGACTGACTCTATGTTCCATTTTTGCCATTTACTAGATTTGTGACCTGTAAAGAGAGAATGATAGTGCCTACTTTCACTGAAAATACAAAATTTTTGGAGAATTAATGTGCTCGTGAACCACCATTTTAATCTATGGAATAATATAAAACATAAGCTATTACTTATCACAAAAGATAATTCTGATAATGTGCCCGTGTTGCTCATAAAAATAAAACTTTTGATTACAAATGTTAGTTTTTCATTAAGCAAAATAACACATTAGAGTTAAGAAAAAAATAATGTTGAAATTTCAAAATTGTATTTGCAGAAATGATACTGGAGTGTTTGTGTCAGACATTGTCAAAGGAGGAATTGCTGATGCCGATGGCAGGCTGATGCAGGGAGACCAGATATTGATGGTCAATGGAGAAGATGTCCGTAATGCCACCCAGGAAGCAGTTGCTGCTTTGTTAAAGGTAAAAATCAAATGCTAAAGTCATGCTGTGTCATAGTCTGTAAGGAGAATGGGAATTGAGCATACGGTTAGCATTGTCAGATTAAATACTGAGTTGTCTTTATTTATGAGCTGAAATGTCACCTCAAATAAGATAGAGATAGATTCATATTTCAGTGGTAGTTACTAAATAGTACATCTATGAATAGCTGTTTTATTATATCATTATACACTTGTTTAGTGGTAATACGAATTACGAACTGAGTACCTGTTTGTCTTCAAGGTGAGTATTGAGCAGATCTTATTCTTGAAAGTAAAACACATATCCCAACCATAAAAGAAAGAAAAAAGCTAGCCTGCGGTCTCCTTATTTCTTTTAGATTCATAACTTTTTGAGTAAGTAAGTACTTTCGCATCCAGCACAGTTGGTCTTTGGAAAATGACTTTGCAGTAATCTCCATGTGAGAGCCAAGAAGTGTGCTCAGGGTACCTCTGGAGTTGATGCTTTTTGGTCTTCGGCCTTTACTCTCCCAACCCCATACCTGGCCCTTTTCTGAGCAGATCAGATTTCATGTATTCATATCTCTGCCAGAGATGAAGAATATGGGAGAAAGATTTTACCCTTTATGACTCATGGAAGGAAACAAAAATGTAATTTAGATTATTTCATTATATTGGCTTCCTAAGAAGGAAATAGTTATCCAAATCTTCCTCTGACTCAAAACTATTAAACTATTTAAATTTGACATTTAACATCAGTGTTGGATAGGTTTTCTTTCAGATCTGAAGGTAATTTAATGTGACTTTACCTGGCAGCACCTTCACTTGGAAATATTCCAACAATTATTGGTCCCATCCCTAAGCATTAGTCTAGACTTAAAAGCATTTCACATTATGAAATCTGTTTCCTTAAAAGAAAACTCTCCATGAAGAATAATTTTCTGACTCAAAATGCAAAAACAGTCTCATTTAAAAAGATAAGTTTGTAAAGTACAGAATCTACCCACTGCCATGGAGTCAAATCTAACTCATAGTGACTCTCTATAGGGTTTCTGAAGCTGTAAATCTCAACAGGAGCAGAAAGCATCCCGAGTCGCCCACGGAACTTCACTAAAAAATACAAATCTTGGGACTAGACAGATTTCCAATCAGGGACTACTCCAGTTTCTATAAAAACGATGTGTTCTCATTAATAAACAAGGTGATGCTTACCTCGTTTTCCTTACCTCATGTGTATGAGCCTGGGTGTGGTGCTGTAGGATAACCTCTGAACTGGTAACTGCAAGGTCAGCAGTTCAAACCCACCAGGCACTTTCAGAAATCCTATACAGCTACAGTATGACTCAACAGCACACGACAACAACAACAACATGTGTGTGCGTGACCTGACTAGAGGACTGTTGCCATCAGTCCCTTTGTGGTCCATGTGAAATGAACCCACTTGACAGTATTCATTAAGAGTCATTATCAGAAGTCTGGTATACAAGAGGACACCTCTTGAGTGGCCAGGCTTCATGGAGGGATTTCCAAGTGAGCTTATTGTAGAATCTGATGTAGGAATATGTATGTATATTTAGCTATAAATAAAACAGAAAATTAAAACTAATAATAGCCCTGGTGGTGCTGCTGGTTAGGCATTGGACTGATAACTGCAAGGTTGGCAGTTCAAACACACCTTGTTAAGTCTCATGGGTACCAACTGCAAGCTTTGGAGTCCATCCACACACACCTTGCTGCACTTCAGATTTGCTGGCTCCTTTGCTCTCTCTCAGCACTAGCCCCCATGGGCTAGGTTGGTTCCCATGAACTCAGGGATCCATATAACTCCCTAACTTCAGACCAGCCAGCCCTTCAGCTGTCTCAACCCATCTCTTAATTGCTGTCTCTCCCCAACTTACACTCAACAAGTGGACCCAGGTGGTCACCACAACAAACAAACCAGCTTATCTGCTCACTAACTCCCTTTACCTTTCTGTCCTCATCGTTGTGGTAGTTGTATCCCTGTAGAGGGTCTCGGGCTATAAATCTGGGTGGGAGCAGAAAGCCGTATTTTTCTCCCACAGAGCACCTGGTGAATTCTATCCGCTGGCCTTACACTTAGCAGCCCATTTCATACCCTACTCTGCCACCAGGGCTCCTTAACATTTAGTCCTAGAAGAGCATAAATAATTTCTCAACCAAATAAACTAGCCCTGAAAAAAAAAGTTTGGATGTATATAATTAAAGTTGTTAATATGTGTATAATTTAAATATTTGTTGTTGTATACTACTTGTTCTTTAAAGAAATACTCTAAAAATCTTGCATAAATATTCCTCTGTACATAAAACAGCTCCATGCACATAAGGTTCATTGCAAGGTTACTTATGTTGCTAAGTGCCATTGAGTGGGTTCCGACTCATAGCAACCCCATATAGGGTGTCCAAGGAGCAGCTGGTGGGTTTGAACTGCTGACCTTGTGGTTCGCAGTCCAGTGCTGATCCACAGTGCCACACCTGGAAGGTTTACTTATAGCAATAGAAAAATTGGAAGTAACACAACTGGCAAAAAAAATAAAATATATGAATATAGTTCCTTGGCATATACTTGTATTTCAACATGCATCTCTATAAAACTTCAAGATGACTGTAAAAACAGAAAAAGTAACCTACAAAGAGTTTAAGACAGATAATTGTATCTGCAGTATATATAAAAACCACTCATAGTGACCCTATAGAACAAAGTGGAGCTGTTTCTTAGGATTTCTGAGACTATAAACATTTATGGGAACACATAGCTTCATCTTTCTCCCATAGTGTGGCTGGTGAGTTTGAACCACTGACCTTGTAATTAGCAGTCCAACACATAACCCACTGTGTCATGTAAAATAAAATCTTATGGTAAGACTTTTAACAATAATTTAGAGGTCATTGTTGGACTTAGAGGGTCCTGCGATTTTTTTCCTTCTAATTTTTGATTATTTTCCAAATTTTCTTTAATGACCATTGATTTTATAATGGAAAGATGACTTTTCAAAACATTTTAAATTTTCACAATAGCAGAAACCTTTGAAGCATGAAAGGGATATGTTATAGATATATTAAGTGTTATAAATTTAGACCTTAGGTAATTTATATGTGGAACTCATTAACCTCAGATGTTATACAAGCTGAAAATATAAATAGGTTCAAGAAGGTTTTGATATGTTACTGGCTAAAAAAACAAACAAACAAAAATAAAGCAGAGCAATAAAACAATTTATGGATATTGCAAGTCAAATTCTGACCTTTCAACATTTGATTCATTAGCAGCATGTTCAAAAATAGCACATCCCTTGGTGCCCACATCAGAGGCAAATAATATCAATGCTCAATTAATGATGTACAATATTACTTTATGCTCAACATTGTGATAAGCATTGTGCATAAATTATGTTGCTTATCACAACTGCTTATTATAGTCTACAGTTTTTAGATGAAGAACACAAAACTGGTGGTGAAAAATAGCTGTTAAGATCACACACACAGCTAGTAAATCAGAGAGAAGATTTAAGCTAGCATATATGACTACAGAAGGCGAGGATCGCAGGCGTCTCATTGAGCTTCTTGCATATGAGACTAGATATCATTTCTTCTGCTCATGTGACTTTGTGAAGGATCATGAGACCATTTTCTTCAGTTCTTGTTTTATTGCAATACGACTTGTTTAAGTATTATTTGATAGGCGTACTCTACTGCAGTGTAGCAATAGAGAATTTGCACAATTATCTGCTATAGAGAATAAAATAAATAGTTGCAATGATTATTTTATTGTATTGGGGTGGTTAAGTCCTGAGTTACTGAAGTCATTTAGCCCATCCAAATCAGTGTACATCATGATATAATTCCTCAGTTCTCATTTTCTCTTTGCCTTAGTAGACATAGTCTCCATTTCTACCATGAAGTACTAAGACATACAATTGGTGTTGCTGCTGTTACTTTTTGTTATTATTTTCTCAATCTTACAATGTATTTTTTTAAAGCCTTTTTATTGTTTTCTACAAAGGATTTGAGGTAGCTCTGCCCGTGAATATTTCAGAAGGAAGGTGCCTTTCAGCATCTCAGTCTTGAAGAGTAAAATGTATTTCTGAAGTTGATTACGGTATTTTATTTTAACCGTCTATGAAACAACCACTCTCCCAGTGTTCTCTAGGTGCAGTCACCTTGGACGTTGGCAGAATCAAAGCTGGTCCGTTCCACTCAGAGAGGAGACAGTCTCAAGGCAGTCAGGTGAGTTGCTGAGCAGCTGTCAACGTGAAGCAGCCCACTTGTCAAAGGCACTCATAGAAGGCCCTGACCATGAGTGCACAGGGGGTCCTCTCCACAGCCTGGTCCTCTGCACGCTCTGCTCTCTTTGGACTCCTCTTGAGCAGATAGCAGCATTCCTGTGACATTTCCTAAGAGATCCAACTCCATCAAGCACCAATAGAACATGATGTTATTGAAGGTTTTATGATGGGTTGCCAGGGGATTCGGTGCCAGAGACACTGCAGTTGAGCCTCCAAACATCCCTATCAAGTATCTCTCCACCCTTCTCGCACATTAGCTTTTGGATGAACTCCTCTTTTCTTCATATTAACTTTTCCTCCCAGTAGTAACAAAAGAAGTCCTCTTCATTATCAGGAGTGATACCTTGCTTCCCTCCATTTGAATAGTCCAATAGCACAACGTGAACTCAGTGGTTGAAAGACTATTTATTGTCTGTGACTTCCTAAGCCGTTAGAGGACCTCCCAGCACAATAGCCAGCCTTCAGGGCCAAGGGAAGGTGTAAGGAATCACCATTTTTACTAGAGTGTTTTTGAATGCTAACTTTCAGTAGACCAGACTCTGAACAGATAACATATGTGCCCCAAACATAGACTCTGCATAGCGAAGGCCAACATTCTTGGACAACTTGACCAGAATTCTGCATCTAGGAGCCAGGTGCCCTAGGGAGCCTATACCGTTATTAAATAACTGTTAATTAATTATTAATATATCTGTCTGTATCACACTCTTCCATGATTTAACGACTACATCTCTTTGGGTGTTATTTAAATTAGCCTATGTTGTTGTTGTAGTTATGTGCTGTGGAGTCGATTCTGACATAGTGGCCCCGTACAGGCTTTCCGAGGCTGTAAATCTTTACGGGAGTAGAAAGTCTCATCTTTCTCCCATGGAACAGCTGGTAGTTTCGAACTGCGGACAGTAAGATTAGCAGCCCGATTCATAACCACTACGCTATAAATGCAGCTTAATTTTAGACTTTTGTCAAATTTGTTTAGGTGAGAATTTGCATAATTGAGGTGGTATAAAAATATTCCAATTATTGAGAGTCCTTACAATTGAGCTATTTTATTTGTGCCTAAGTGGCACCTCACTTCACCATTTGAAGCTAACTACAAGTTTTGATACGAATGACACCTAGAATATAGAAGAAAAGATCATTGTTTGGAGAGTGGAAATTATGAAATAATATAGTGTAAATTACTCTAAAATTTCCATTTTGGAAATGGGCTAAGAGTTAAGATTTTAGTAGTTGTTTGGTTTTTGCTTATAAGCTTGCCTCTCTTATTGTAGTTTGGGTGGAAGTTTACAGATCAAATTAGTTATTCATTTAATCATTTATACATGTTTTGTTTCATGACATTGGTTGCGGTCCCTCATCGTAACAGCCAGTCCCCTCCCTTTCTCCCTGGGTTCCTCGTTCTCATTTATCCTTCTTTCCTGTCTTCTGATATTCGTTTTGGTCTCATATGATTAAGTGTGCTGAGGAGTACCTGCCTCCCTGGAGTTACTCGTCACTCCATGTTGTTGCTGTTGGTAAGTGCCATTGAGTCCATTCTGTCTCATAGCAACCCTGTATAGGGTTTCTGAGGATCCGCTGGTGAGTTTACACCACTGACCTGTGGTTCAAACCAACCTTGTAGTCCAGTGCTTATCTTACAGCACCACACCCTGGACTCCTCCCATAGAGATTGTTGTTGTTGTTAAGTGCTGTCAAGACGATTATGACTCATAGTGGTCCTGTTTAGGGTTTCCAAGGAATGACTGGTGGGTTTGAACCACCACCTTGTGTTTCAAATACACCTTGCAGTCTAATGCTTATCCTAAAAAGCATTCCTTAGGCTAGGAAATCCTACCAGACGGTTCAACTTTGCCTTACAAGGATGTTATGAGTCGAAATCAAGGTGACAGTATCTAACATCTTCCAAAAAACCAGAGACAAAGGCTAAACTGAATATTTGTCCCTCCACAACTTGGTGGTTGTGGGGAGACAAATAATTAAAAGTTATATGTGAAAAGCTTCTACATATGACTTCAAAAAATATTTTATAGTAAAAATATTTCAATCAATATTCAATTGAAAAAAATCTTATATAGGTGAACAGTAGGTGTTCACCACCATGTATGAAAATGCAACGCCATATAGTTCAAGCTCCTTGGGAAGCCTTGCTCCTGAGTCCTATCTTATGATGACGGAAGCCCATCTCCTCAACCTATCCTAAAAGACCTCTTACACACCTCCTTAACTGCTGCCATTTGCTTCCTGATGACCAACCCTAATTCTCTAGATTTTAAGTCAAATGTACAGCATCAGTTCAGAGACGATTTGTTTGAATGAGTCTATGAAAATCAATTAAAAGTTTAGGTAGAGATGAGGACATGGAAAGAGAAAAGCTGTGTGCTGGCAGCCAGGAGGCAAGTTTGCAGAATGTGCCTTTTGATTGTATGATTGGTTATATAATCCTGCGTGCTTTTGTGTACATCAAAAACAAAAAACCAGAGGGAATAGAAGCAAATACTATTGAATAATGATGCATGGACAGGATTATAATCATTGCAGTGAAACAAAATATGATTGGATGAGTGCAAAATCTATGCTTTCCCCTGTAAACTATCACTCAATTCACAATAAAAGTTTGGAAAAAAAAAAAAGTTTAGGTAGATTGAAGTCAATTTTGTCTACCCTTTTAACTTCAATTTATTTTTGTCATGAGGCAAATTATTCCTTTTTTTTTTTTTTAAATCAGGAAATATTCCATTTGCATTGGCATTCGTATTATCAAAGTCCAGTGCTATAGGATAAACACTGGACTGCTAACCTCAAGGTTGGTAGTTCAAACCCACTGTCGGCTCTTCGGAAACTCTGTATGGGGTTGCTGTGTGTTGGAACCTATTTAATAGCATTTAACAACAACTATTATTTCTTTCAAGGTTTTTCTCACTTGTTTTTGTTGTTATGTGCCATGGACTCAGTTCCGACTCATAGTGACCCTGTATAGGGTTTCCAAGGCTGTAAATCTTTACAGGAGCAGAAAGCCTCATCTTTCTCCCATGAAACAGCTAGTAGTTTCGAACTGCTGACCCTCAGGTTCGCAGCCCGATTGGTAACCACTACGCTACCAGAGCTCATCACTAGATACGCTAAAATAATGGAATTCTAAAGTGAATGCTTTTTTAGGAGGTGTGATTACTTTGAAAACTTTCCAAACTAGCTGTTGTATATTTGTAGGTGAGTGAAGGCAGCCTGTCATCTTTCAACTTTCCACTTTCTGGATCCAGTACGTCTGAGTCACTGGAAAGTACCTCGAAGAAGAATGCATGTAAGATCGCTGTGATATTTAAGCATGATTTCCTGTTTTGAATGTTGAGTGTCCACACTGTTTTCCTATTTTAATTTACCTCTGAGCCCTTTCTTTCCTCCTCCAAAGCATAACATATCCTAGCATAGGTATAAAAATAGGTATACTTTTGAATAGAATGCTGTTCAAATATACTGTTGAGCAGAAATGTTGAACCGCATGATGTTTGGCGTTTCCCACTTGATATTTACCCTACAAGATGTACCAAATATTAGATTCAGAATCCTTTAATTTTTTTCTTTCTAAGCAGTTTGGTGTTATTTGATTTTATCCCCCTTCTCTGTTTCGTATAATGCCAATACATCAGGGGATGCCAGCGAGTGGAACCATGTTTTTCCACAAAGTTTGCAGAAATTTTGATTGGGAAAATTAAGATGATCCCCTGTGTTTTAATTACATGAAATCATGACGCAGAGGGGTTTTTGGCTGGGAGCATTGGATGAGAGTTGTTCAAATTAAAGGAACTAACCATATGGCAATCTCTGTTTTCGATGTGACTAATCGTCTAGAAATTTAGGCACTTAAATCCATGGATTTTTTTTTTTAATGCAACCATGGCTTTATTCCTCTCAGCTGTGCACATGTGTCCTTCTATCCAAAACACATTTTGTCCTTGACTCATTCAAAATGGATTACACAGTTATATAATCAGTCCTTAAAATAAAATTTAAAAAGAAGGAAGAAATGGGGCAGGGTATGTGTTGTTCCCACTGAAGAAATAAAGAGTTCCCATGTAAGACAAATATAATAATATGTAGTAGGAATGGTCAGCATCCCTTTTTATTAAAAAAAAAAAAAAAAAAAAAAGGCATGGTAGTGCAATGGTTAAGGCATATGGCTGCTAACTGTTGGCATTACGAACCTCCCCAGCTGCTCCATGGGAGAAAGATGGAGTAGTCTGCTTTTATAAAGAGTGTTGTTGCTAAGTGCCGTGGAGTCATTTCTGACTCTTAACAACCCTGTATAGGTTTCCACGGAGCAGTTGGTTTGGTTAGCTTGAACCGTCAACCTGGCAGTTCAAACTAACCTTGCAGTTCAGCGCATTAACCCACAGGGTCACACCAGGACTCCATTATAAAGCCTTGGAAACTCTATGAGGCAGTTCTGTTTTGTTCTATATGATTGCTTTGAATCAGAATTGACTTCACCACAGTGGATTTGGTTTTGTTGTTGTTGTTAAGTGCCTTCGAGTCGGTTCTGACCCATAGCGACCCTATGGTTTCCAAAGAGTAACTGGTGACCTTGCAGTTCAAGCAGCTTTGCAGTCTGGCGCATTAACCCACAGTGCCACACCAGGACACCAGAAATTTTAGCTCATAAAAAAAGAAAGAAAAAGAAGAAAATATAAAGAATTAAGGTATGCCGTTTGGAGTCCTAGTGAGGCACTCTAGAATAAGCATTGGACTGCTCGCCACAAGGTAGGTGGTTCAAACCCACCAAGTGCTCCTCAGAAACTTTATACAGAGTTGGTCTGAGTCACAACAAACTTGAAGGCACTTACCGACGACAACAAAGGTATGCCATTTGGTACCAGCCAGCTTCAGGAATTGACTAACATTTTTATGAACACAAGGAAACCTGTAGTAATTCATTATATTTTCTCTTTTTCACCTTTACAGTGGCCTCTGAAATACAGGGATTAAGAACAGTTGAAATAAAAAAGGTAATTTGGGGGAGAGAAAGCACTCTAAAGTGTTGATTTCAAAGACTTCAGCATAGGCCTTCTCCTCATAGTGGACTTCATGTTTCTAAGTTCAGATCTGAAAAGAATATGTATTGTATGTAGTGGAAATACCACGATGCAGTCTTTGTTGGATTTCCTGGCAACAGCGCATTGTTTAGAGGGAGGGGAGGTAAAAAAAATTCTTTGTTTATTCAGTATTAGCAAAAATAGCATCAACTTGGCCCACACTAAATAATAGTCTATCCCTCACTGATAAGGAAGCATTTGTCTTTAACAGGTACTTCTTAGTTCTCCTTGAAAATGACATGCGCAAGAGGAAAATAAAAGCAGCTAACCTTGATGGGCTGTTTACTGAAGGGTCAGTGGTTTGAACCACCAATTTCTCCACAGGAGAACGATCAGGCTTTCTGCTCCTGTAAAGACTTCCAGCCTTGGAAACCCTCTTCAGGGTCTATATGAGTAGGAACTGACTCCACAGTATACAATAACAACCATCATTTTTTGAGGTTTTACGCTTGTGCTCAACAGCCCTTTCAGATCATCATCATTTCATTTAATCTTCACAGCAGCCACTGTGTGAGGCGAGGCCGATGCTAACTCCGGCTGTAAATGAAGGTCTGCTGATTCATGTGCCCAGTGGATTTGGGTTTTAAAGTGTGGCCTCCTGGCTTTGAAACAGGTCTCTCTGTTTGCACAGCTTGTGGCCTTTTCACATTACTTTACCTGCTTTTCATCAGTCCTACACATGACCTCCATTTAGTGTATCCTGATCTCTTTTACTTCTTGGATGGACATTTATTTTCTTAAATCATACACACTAAAGACCTGTCTCAAAAAATAAGGTCAATTTCTTGAGTGTTAGTTTCCAATCTCAAACTTAAAACATCAGTATCGTTGAAACAATAGTGTTCCAAAGAAGCAAAATGTTGGTTTAAAAAATATGAATGACTTTGGCAACGCGATTGTGCTTGTTCCTTGGCAGGGATCTGCTGACTCTTTGGGAATCAGCATTGCTGGAGGAGTCGGCAGCCCTCTCGGCGATGTTCCGATATTTATTGCCATGATGCACCCAAATGGAGTTGCAGCTCAAACCCAGAAACTCAGAGTAAGTTCTACTGCTGTTAGAGGCAGCCTTAACACGTGCTCTTCCAAACCCTTAAATATAGGCAACTCTTATAAAATGCTTTAAAATGTATGTGTCTGCTTTTCAATCCACTAAGCCAGCCACAGACTAAAGGAAAAAGAGAATTAAAAGAAAAGAGAAAATAATGTTGCTGTATGCATATTTGCAAGTAAATGAAATGGGAAGATTCGCAGTTATTTCTCTTTTTTTTATTTGTCCTGAAATTATAACAAGGTAAAACACATACACCACACACACAAAAACGCTCACACACACAACTTTTCACAACACTGGTATTAATTGTTTTCTTTGCATACTTCATTAGTTTGAATGCCAATTTGTTATAAAAATGAAAAATAATCATTTTTCTTACATTTGATTGTAAAGTTTGCATTCGTTTAATGTAACTATGACTTACAATGTTATTAGTCTATGCCAAACTTGCTTCCAAATTGAAGAATTATCCAAATTCTCAGCACTATGATATAATATTTTGCTAACTTCCTAGCTTTCAGATCATAACATTCCAGTATAGTAATTCAGTCATTCTAAAGTAGAATCCACAGCACATAACAACAACAACAACAAAGTAGAATCAGTGCTACTTCTTCCCTCAAACAGATCTGAGAGTGGAACCAGCTTTTAGTTCAAACAGTCTAAACTGGGAATAGCTCAGCCTTCTTTGTAAATCTATGGCTGACACTAACAACTTAACCTGGGCTAAAGGGGACAGAGGTCCTAAAGGGGACAACTGATTCTATACTTAGTACAGAGGTCATCAAACTTTTCTGCGAAGGGCCAGATAGTAAATCTTTTAGGCTCTGGGAACATATGGATCTCAGCTTCCGCTACTCAACTCTGCTGTGCATAATAGTGTGCATACAGCCAAATGAGTATGGCTGTGCTCCAGCAAAAGTTTATTAACCAAAACAGGCAGTGGGCTGGATTTGGCCCATGGGCTGTAGTTTGCCAACCCTTGGCTTCAAGTCTTCTCTCATGTTTATACTAATAATGTCCAGAGCAATTGTGGTTTCCAAATAATACCAAATATTTTAGTCTTTCAGTAGGATATAATGTCTTACCCAGCAGAATTGAAACGAAGGGGAATGGGATTTTTTCTGCACCCTCCTTCCCTAGAGACTGTAAAAATTGCTCATTATGAGTCTCATCTTTCTATGGCTGGAGTTTCTTTGACTTCTTGGCATCAGTGGTTTCTTCGACTGCAGGTGCTGATAATGCATCTCTGAGATGGCTTCAAAGAGTTCATGGAAACATGGAATGAAAAGATAGTGGAATTTTTCCACAAACTTTTTGAAGCTCTTCTATGTGATATGGAAGGTAGAGGAGGAAATGAGTGTTCAGCACTGAACATCCTGCTCCCCGCGGCTGATTGAGTAGAAGGTGATTTTTTGCTGTTGGAGGCACTGGTTGCTACCTGGTAGAATTCTCCCCTTCCATGAGGGAGACATACCCGGGTTCCATTTCCAGCTAGCGTACCTCACATACAGCCACCACCCATTGGTCGGTAAGAGCTTGTGTGTGGCTATAATGGTGAGCAGGTGCCAGCAGAGCTTCCATACTACCAAAGGAGGAAATATCTAGCAATCAACTTCCAAAATCAGCCCACCAATCATCCCTATCACGGGAATGCCACAGGCCGGGGCAACATTTCATCCCACTGGGCATGAGCTCACGATGAAGCAATTGCCAACACTAGCAATGTTTCTTCCTCTCCCTTGCAGGTTGGGGATAGGATTGTCACTATCTGTGGCACATCCACTGAGGGGATGACGCACACCCAAGCAGTGAACTTACTGAAAAATGCCTCAGGCGTCATTGAAATGCAGGTAAGAGTCTGACCCCAGCACTATGCAGAATAGGGACAGCCTCAGAACAGAGTGAGTTTTCATGGTAGACCCGTAAAAATGAGTAAATCCCTGGCTATTATTTTATTTAATATTCGCCTTAAACAGCAGTGATTAAATTGAGAGTTCCAGGAAAGTACAATATGAAACACATTTCCTGAATCTTTTATTGTTTCACACACTGTATCTAAATGGGAAAAAAAGAAACAAACAAAAATATAAAGCCTTAGCAGTAAATGATTCATTTGCTAGAATTTTAAGTGGTGTGAGTGCATTTTAAGGATATTAAAAAAAATAATAATACATGAGGCGCTGCTTTAAAAGCATCAAAGAACTTTGTACAATTGAATTAGTAGAATTATTTTTTGCTCAGTTAAAGTGACCTCTGGACCTTGCGAGATTTCTCTCTTGGGTTGTATTTAATATTAACAGAAATCCTTAAGTTGGTAAGATATACATTTCAATCTCAATTCTCTTGTTGAAGAAAAATTGCAAGTGTCTGTTAGCCTTGTGAACACATGTTCTTGTCTTTACACTTCCTTTTCTGATGCACAGGTGGTTGCTGGGGGAGAGGTGAGCGTGATCACAGGTCAACAGGATCCTGCCAATTCTAGTCTCGCTCTCACAGGGCTGACCTCAAGCAGTGTATTTCAGGATGACTTAGGGTGAGCTCCTAGTTTGTGATTTGTTTATACTCTTGTCATTTATGGAAAAAATTCCCCTGACAGTTACACCCTCAGGCCCATGTTCTCAGCGTTCATATAGAAGTGTAAAAAAACAGAAGATGAGGTATGAAATACTAAAACCAATTGCTTCTAAACTGTTAAATAATGATGGTATGGATTTCGGCCACCAAAGATAGATAGACAGACAGATAGATAAATGAGAGATAGACTGTCATTGTTGTTACGTGCTGTTGAGTCAGTTCCAACTCATAGTGACCCTTGTAGAGTTTCTAAGAAGTGACTGTTGTTGTTACGTGCCGTGGAGTCGGTTCTGACTCATAGCAATCCTGTACAGGGTTTCCGAGGCTGTAAATCTTACGGGAACAGAAAGCCTCATCTTTGTCCCACGGAACAGCTGGTAGTTTCGAACTGCTGACCATGAGATTAGCAGCCCGATTCGTAACCACTACGCTACCAGAGCTCCTTAAGAAGTGACTAGTGGGTTTAAACTCCTGACTTGTGATTAGGAGTCCAGTGCTAATCCTAACCACACCAAGGCTCCTGCAAGAAAGACAGATGGATGGATGGATGGGTGATTGGATAGATAGATAAATAGATGGATAATTAGATAGATAGATGCATAGATAGATAGATATAGATAGATGGATGGATGGATGGATAGATAGATGCATAGATGCATAGATAGATAGGTAGATAGATAGATAGATAAAATGATGTAGACATGGATAAAAGCAGACATGTCTGCCTGTACCTTCTCTCATGTCCAAATCTCAGATTCTTTAGGGGATGTTTTAGTCTCTGTTTTATCACTCTGCAAAATAAAACAAGTTAAATCTACTCTTAAAAATTCCAACATCGCCTACTCATTTATTAAACATCTTTTGGTTGAAAAAATAGTCACAGACTTGAGTATAAAAGTATTAAAAATACAGAGGAAGAGAAGAGGGGCAAGGTGAAAATTTTTAAATAATTTGATGCAACAATTACATTATTTATAGAGTCCTGGTGTGGCTCTTTAGGTTTGGCACCAATTGCTAACTATAAGGTTGGTGGTTCAAACCCATTCACTCCTTGGAAACATTATACAGGGTCACAATGATTCGGAACTGACTCAACGGCATTGAACAACAACAACAGGTACATTATTTGAAGTTCTGTTGTAGAGTTGTAGGATAATCACTGGGCTGCTAACTACAAGATTGGTAGTTCAAACCCACCAACCACTCCTTGGAAACCCTATACACGGTTGCTATGAATCCGAACCAACTGGACAGCACCTAACAACAATAAAACAATCACATTACTTTCCTTAAAGGAGTTTGGTGGGCGAGTGCTTAAATACTTGACTACTAAATGAAACATCAGTGGTTCAAACCCACCAGCCACTTCATATGAGAACAATATGGTGGTCTGCTCCCATAAAGATTCCAAATTTGGAAACCCTCGGAGGCAGTTCTACTCTGTCCAGTAGAGTCACTACGAGTAGAAATTGACTTGGCAGCAATGGGTTTTGGTGTTGGTATTATAATATTTGTAATTGCTCTGAGTTTTGGAATACTGACACTTAAGACTTTCTGTGCTTTAAAAAAAAAAAAACAACTGTAAGGAGAATGAGTTTTTCCATGCAACAGGAACATGCAGTGAACATGTTTGTGTTTGTTTTTTTGATAGTATCTTTTTTTTTTTGAAGTTTTTATTGTGAATTATGTAGGTTACATGTGAGAACATCAGTTTCACATTCATCCTATCATATTCTGTTTCATTGCAATGATTACAATCCCCTCCATGCATCATCAAATAACCAAAGGGTACACCCCACAGGCCCACCCACCCCTAGCTGTCAGTACACGGTCCCTTTCCCTCCCTGAGTCCAGTGCCCCCAGCTGCTCCATCTGTCCATGTCATCATCTCTGTCCCCATCCCTAGCATCACTGTTTCTCTGGGTAGGGTTCCACTCTCCTCTCTTTTCACTTGAAGGTCCCAGGGACCTCCGGTCCAGGGCTGCAAAGTCAATCACTCCCCTCCTTTTGTCAAAAAACATCTACCTCTACATTTCCGACCCTCACAGTCAGTCCTCATGGCAATTATTCACTATTGTACCACAAGAGTCCTATCCCCATTTCCTTTCACTAGCCCGGTCCCAACAGATTGGAAATCATTCAGTGGAGATTCTACCTTCCCCTGCCCCGTCTGGAACTAGGCTCCCTCTTGAAAGCTTGTAAGCCAGTCACTTCTTGCCTTTAGAGGCCCCCCTCCCCCCGCCATTCTGGGTAGGCAATGTCTATGTTGCCCATCCCTGTCAACCCTGTGTAGATTTTGAACATGTCATTTTAAGGAATTTAAATGATTAATGATTAGAATTAGAGTGTTAGGAAGATTTTACTAAATTATGCAAATTGAAAATACTGAACACAGCATGTACTAACAATTCAAGAATCCCAAAAATATCCAGAATATACCCGCTGTCACCAGTAGAGAATTATGCTAGCTCTTGGTTTCTGCTGTTGTTGTTAAGTGTCATCAAGTTGGTTCTGACCCATAGAGACTCTGCATATGTTTTCCAAGGAGCTGCCGGTGAGCTCCAACCTCCAAGTTGGCAGTTCAAACCAACTTTGCAGTCCAACGCATTAACCCGCAGTGCCACACCAGGACTCCACCTATACTTTATAGGTTCACACTTATATGTATATGTATAAATTTTAAATTTCAAATCCTCTTTTTTTCCCCACCCTTTATTGTAGACCTCCTCAGTGCAAGTCTATTACGCTCGACCGAGGGCCTGACGGGTTAGGCTTCAGTATAGTAGGAGGGTACGGAAGTCCTCATGGAGACTTACCCATTTATGTTAAAACCGTGTTTGCAAAGGTAAGCTTGCACGTTCCAACGTTTGCTTCCCCCAAAACACACTCCAAGAATGGTCAGCAACTGGTCCATCAGCTGATGCCTGAGGTAACGCCAAAATGCAAACATTTGCATTTGGAGCTTCCTTCTGGTGTGTCTCTGCAGGTAAATTTGCTGGACTGCAAGATCTGTTTGAACTCCAAGGTCAGCGCAGTGGACTCCATGGCACTTAACAGCAACAACACTGGTCATTAAATGTTTTTGTCCAATTTGAGGCTTCTTGTTGTTGTTAAGTGCCATCAAGTCAGTTCCAACTCTGCGATCCTGTATAGGATTTCCAAGGAGCAGCAGGTGAGCTTGAACCACTGACCTTGCAGTTCAAGCTGACTATGCAGTCCAGTACATCGACCCGCAGCACCACACCAGGACTCCAGTTTGAAGCTTAGTGATGTTTAAAGGAAAACAGACTCAAAGCGAAATTCCATGAAAACTCTTGACAATATACATAGAAGTATTAGTGAACTTAAGTTAAGACAATAAGGCCTGTTTTTTGTTTTGTTTTTTTCTTTTCCCTTTTTTCCTTTTCAAGAAAGTTGCATGTCTTTATGAAAATGGGACATTTTCTATACGAATGCATTAGAATGCTGGCTTTTATTAGCATTTACTTTTCTCATGTGAAAAATAAATACTTACAAGAAGAGTAAATAAAATGCATGTGCAGATGACTAATGAGATATTTATTTTACAAATTGACTTCGATTTTAAAAAAATAATAACTACCCGTCCAAATCTGAAGAACATCCAGCAGCCCTGTCACCTACATGAAATCACTTATTTGCTAACAAGTGAGTCAATAAAATAAAAAAAATTTTTGTAATTTATTAGTAAACTGTTCTAATATGAATAATGCTTATAATAAATAGAGCTATTGCAAAACACTATTTGAAGCTGTTAAAATAATTTAAAGTCATATAATTATCATTAACATAGTGTTTCTTGTTGGCAAGTGCCATGAGTCACTTCTGAGTCATAGGGATTCTGTACAGGGTTTCTAAGGAGTGGCTGATGGGGTTGAACCGCTGGTCTTGGGGTTAGCAACCCAGAGCTTATCCTAGAACACCACACCAGGACACCAAGTCAGACAGACTGTCCTGCAGATAAAACTCCCAAACCCCACAATTTTACAATACAAAAAGGCAAAAATGAATGCCAACGCTGAGAGAAGATTCTATACTATTAGTGCTGTGGTCCTTTAAAGAAAGTACCAGCCTATGGGAATTACAGTCTATTATTTTTAAAAACAATCATTATTGTTTATTATTCACTAGTTTAAACTGCTGTATGAACAGCAAGTTAGCTGTAGGTTTAATTTTTGAGATTTTTTTTTTTTTAAGCTGTTGGTGTGTCCAAAAATATGAACAGCATTTGTCAGGGGATAGAAGAGTTATGTAGCTCTTTTCTTCAGCTGAGGAACAATTTATTTAAGGCATGCTAGTTAGAACATATTTTAAGAATTTCATCATTATGGATTCCTCATTAACTTTTTTCCATATTTCTAATCTTATATTTAATTGCACAATTGCCTACTCTAAGCACGCCTTCGCACGGGGCTCTTTTTCAAACAGCAATGTCTGTATTTAATCTCAGTCATTTAGTGCCCAGAAGGAATAGGAAGGGGTGCTGTGGGTTAATGTGCCAGACTGTAAAGCCATTTGAACCGCAAGGTTGGCGGTTCAAGCTCACCAGCTGCTCCTTGGAAACTCTATGTGGGGTTGCTATGGGTCAGAATCGACTCAACGGCACTTAACAACAACATTTACCTTTGGGAGCCCTGATGTGGCTCTGTGGTTTTAATGCACCAGACTGCAAAGCCATTTGAACTGCAAGGTTGGTGGTTCAAGCTCACCAGCTGCTCCTCAGAAACCCTATACAGGGCCGCAATGGGTTGGAACTGACTCAATGGCACTTAACAACAACAATCTACCTTTGGGAAGCAGAGAATCAATACAGTTTGAGCAGCCTTTTCAAAACCATAGAGCAATTAAGAATTTGCAGTGGGTTTTAACCTCAGAACCTGGCTTTGACAATGTGCAGGTGGACTTTGAATATTGGCTTTGCTTCTGCAAACATTTGGGTTTTGTGGGTCACATGTCCTTGTCGTCTAAAATGGATTTTCTTTCTACCTGATCCCTCTGTCTTCTTTATAGAGTAGAAAATTCAGGATTCTATGAAATCATTCCTATGAGGCAAATTCCCAAATATTCTTGATTAATTTGAGAACCCAACAACTGCTGTGCTGAACAGCCAAAAAACAACATCCAACTAATCTACTGCCTGCTGGATGCTCTCTCAAATTGGACTCTCAATGCGAAAACCATTTCGCAGAAGGCTTCCTTTGTGTGTGTTCATCCTTGCTTAATGGTTCTGGAGCACCGGAAGCAAAGCGTGCACGCACAAAGCAATTTACATTCTTGTTTAGCTCCTGTTCTGTTGTGTAGCTGCAAGGCAGCGTTTTCTGAGAAGTAAACACGCCTACTTCAAATTGCAGGGAGCAGCCTCGGAAGATGGGCGTCTAAAAAGGGGCGATCAGATCATCGCCGTCAATGGGCAGAGTCTTGAAGGAGTAACCCATGAAGAAGCTGTAGCTATCCTTAAGAGGACAAAGGGCACTGTCACATTGATGGTTCTCTCCTGAAATACCACCCGACTGCAGTCACCCAGTCCCCTGGTGACATTCTATGCCATACAGAAAATGGAAAACTTTTCTCAGGCTGTGTTCATTGGGCTCTTCAAAAGTGTAGAGGAGAAAAATGAACATTTAAGCTTGTTTGTCACTTGGTTTTCAGTTTTCCTTTCCCCTTACTTCTTAAAAACCTAAGCTCAATGAAAAGAAATATTTGATAAGTAAATCTGTTTTTTCTTTGTGAAGGTATCTGACATTTTTGTAGTTAAATGGAAAAAAAGTGTTATGTGTTGAACTGAAGAGTGATGATGGTGGTGGTTGTGTGCTATCAACTCAATCCTGACTCATGTTGTTGTTGTTGTTAAGTGCCATCTAGTCAATTCTGATCCATAGTGACCGTGTGTAGCGTTTTTGAGGACCAGCTGGTGAGCTTCAACTGCTGACCTTGCAGTTCAAACGACTTTGCAGTCTGGCACATTAACCCATAGCACCACATCAGGATTCCTATTCTGACTCATAGTGACCCTGTATAGGGTTTCCAAGGCTATAAATCTTCACAGGAGCAGAAGGCCTCTTCTCTCCCACAGAACGACTGGTAGATTCAAACTGCTGATCAAAAGTGATTAGCTGCCTAGCTCATAATCCACTCTGATACCAGGACAGATATGTAGAGAAAGAAAAATAATTGCAAGCCTAACCCAAGAGAAACGGCCTCCACAAACTATGGTAAAACTATAAAATAATAAAGAATACAATATTGTAGATTTGTATAAAAATGTCTTCTTTTGCCCAGCCATCTCCTCTCTCCATCTCAAACAAGAAAGAAAAGGAAAACAACAACAACAACAACAAAATTTTAAACTTAAAAATATTCTTAGTATTTTGATTTTTTTTAAATATAATTTTAAAAAGTACATCTCCCCGTCACTAATATATTTTTTTCTGCTTCAGTCACCATGAGTAGGGGCTGACTCAATGGAAATTAACAACACAGAATCAGTTTCTAAGATTATGAGTAAATAGCAAATGATCCCAGGTTGTGTAAAGAAAATATGAGAGACCTTCGAAAAGTTCATGGAAAAAATACCATCATCATTTATAACATTTTCCCATGATTTTTTTAACTCCTCCCATACATTTAATGCTCATTGGTATGTTTATTTTCATTTTGACCTGTTCTAAAATAGTTTTGTGTTGTGATGAATGAAACAATGGAGCCACCCTGTGTTGCATGCAATCTCTGTACAAACAGCCGTATCAACCATGGAGGAACGTGGAAAATCCTAGAATCCTTTAGTGCTGGTTTTAACAACTGATACAATGCTAAAAATATGTTAGTGGGCTGTACAATTGGCTTTCAATTAGTATTAATCTTAATGACAGAGAAAAAAGCAATGTGTTAGTAATTATTTTGGTCATATGCCATTAGTAAATTGATAGAAAAATTAAGGGGATTAACATAACTTCATTGCATTGCCTTATATTAACATCTTATAATACAATAGTTTAAGAGAAACAGATGGAATTGTTTATTGAGACAACTGGTAAGGAATTATCGTGTGTTCTTTCCCATTTTAGAGCGTGAAACTCCTACATTAGAATATATAAAGTCACTTTAAATATTATCTATATTTGTAACAGAAGTAGTGTACAGATATTTTATTACAGCATTTTTGTGTAAATGCAGAATGGAAGTGAATAAATAAGAAGTTACAGTCGTGTGCAAATAAAAAGCAGGCACATTGTGTGTGTTTTCTTTTTACTGGGGAAAAGCTTTATTATCTTGTTTATTTGTTTGCTTTTATCACTATGAGTCGGAAGCAACTGTACAACATTTAACAACAACAATAAAACTGAGCATATGGTGTCCATAATTCTATTAGAGGAATTTTGGCCAATGTCATCCTGAAAACCTCAGCATTGTATAGGTCCAGATCAGATTTTTCCTGGAACAGAGAAAAATAAACCACATTGCAGGAAGAGAAGTATCCTACCTGTATATGATTTTTGAGCTTTTATTAATGTAGAAATAGTACACATTGGCTCTTTAGGGTTGTCAAGTGTGAAAATGTGTTCAGATTAAAAATGAAAATTATATTAATAAGGATGAAAATCTGGTTTGAGCATTGAACAAGAAATTGGAGAATCTTTGTTCCAGTTCCGCCACTAATTAGCTAATGATCATTTGCAGCCTCTTTCTGATTCATCTCATCTTTACAATGACAGGTCATTTTATCCCTGTCATTATCTTTTAGAGAAGTTTTTATCTCCTTCTAAAAGATAAGAGTGATAAAAAACTACATCTTCCCAAAATTCTGAGATACTCATATGTACTCCTCTAGCCAATCCTTTTGAAATTGGGTACTAAATGATGTAATAAAATTCATATTCAGCATCCCAGTGGCACAGCAGTATCTTAGCATTTTCTTGTTGGCCGTCCACCTTAAATTGAAGTCTGTGAAGACCCTCTCCAGAGAAGTTACTGGATGCTAAGTCTTTTCTAGACTCCATTTGCAGAGATGTTTACAGAGATCCTACGGAGTAAGTCAACCAACCCAATTAAAGTTTGAGTGAATATGGGAGATTACCCCAATAAGAACAACTCAGTGGGTACCTTAAACATGCTTATATCCTGAGTTACTATCATTATATACAATATATTAAACACGCTTATATCCTGAGTTACTATCATTATATATATTATATTAAACACGCTTACACCCTGAGTTACTATCATTATATACATTATATTAAACACACTTATATCCTGAGTTACTATCATTGTATACATTATATAATAGAGCTGTAGGATAAGCACCGGGCTGTGAACCACAAGGACAGCAGTTCAAATCCACCAGCTGCTCCTTGGAAAACCTATACAGGGTCACTATAAGTCAAAACCGACTCAATGGCACATAACAAATTGGACAGGCTCTGTACATGTTTGGTGAAATTGTTGTTAAGTACTGTCAAGTCAGTTCTGACCCATTGCGACCCTGTACAGGGTTTCCGAGGCTGTAAATCTTTACAGGAGCAGAAAGCCTCATCTTTCTCCCGCGGAACAGCTGGTAGTTTCGAACTGCTGAGCTTGCGGATCGCAGCCCAATTCGTAACCACTACACTACCGACCCATAGCAACCCTATATAAGGTTTCAGAGGAGCAGTTGGTGAGCTTGAGCTACCAGCCTTTCTGTTCAAACCAACTTTGCAGTCCAATGCACCACACCAGGACTTGGTGAGCAGTTAAATTAAAGGTCACGATTCATTGATTTCATGGTATTAAATTGCTTTAGTGAGCTGCAATCTTCATATTAAATAGAAAACAAAACCAAAAACAGTGGGAATGTCATTAAGAGGATATAGAAACATTTAGGGAAAGCTCCCCTTCTGAGTTCATATTAATTAACAAAAGTCACATACTTGAAAGAAAAATAAGCAAAAAGAAGAGATGACAGGCAGGAAAGAAGTTAAAGTATGGCAGGGAAAGAGAATTTAGAATCAAACACTGGAAAGAAATGATAAAGGTTTATACGTCCTCTAAGTGTACAAGGAGAAAGAAGAAAGAGCTTGAGCAGAGTTTAAATAAAGACATGAACATTACAGTGTTAATGCCAAGTATACACCTCAAGAGAGATTATCGTCCATAGTAGATTCAATACGATTGCTTGTTTGATTAACTCAAATTGGAGAATGTCCTATATTGTTGGTATTCTCCCTCTATCCTCCAATCATGTGTTTAGTTCAGGTTAGAATGATAGGAAACAACAGGGGAACCAATGAGGTATACAAGTCAATGGAACCCAAAGATCAAAGCATCAATGAGATGGAAGAATTAAAAAAAAAAAAAAAAATTAGTTATTGAAAGATGAGCAAAAAGGAGTTGTTTTTTTTCAGAATGTTGATGAAGCAGGTTTTGATAGATGTGGAGAAGCAGAGGGAGCGTGTTCCTGCCCTGAGAGCTGTACTATATTAAACTGCCTTAAATCTGGCTGGCCAGCTGATTGAGTGAGAATGTCAGTCTGAGTGATTTAGTGCCGTCTTCAAACCTCAGTCAGAAGAGAGAAGTTGAAAGGATGCCTGCAGGGAGACAAGAGTAAATATGCTTTGGGGAAAGTCTAGGTGTGGGAATGCCCAAACTATCATCACCTGCTTTCAGCAGCTCTGGTGTGTTGCTTCATGTCAGCCACAAGTATTCTGGAATGCTTTGATTTGCACAAAGATGCTCCTCAACTCTGCCTACTGGTACGTGATGTTTAACTTTGCCTTTGTCTAAAAGGAGTTACTTGTAAGGCAGGATTGGCCTCCGTTACGTCAATTGCAAAAAACAAAATTGTTGGCAACATGAGAATTTCTAAATGAAAGCATGAAATAATAAAACTGGATGTAGTTACAGTTATTTTTATTTGTTTTCTCTTGCAACAGCTTTTTTTTCCCTTCAAAATTTAGTAGTCCATAATGTCCATTTTTGGAGTCCTGGTGTGGTGCTGTGGGCTAATGCGTCAGAGTGCAAAGTCGTTTGAACTGCAAGGTTGGTGGTTCAAGTTCATCAGCTACTCTTTGGAAACCCTATATAGGGTTGCTATGGGTAGGAAGCCACTCGACAAAACTTCACAACAACAACAACAATGTCCATTTTAAGGAGCTCTGTTAGCGTAGTGGTTACAAATTGGGCTGTGAACCTCAAGGTCAGCAGTTCAAAACTACCAGCTGTTCCGCTGGAGAAAGATGAGGTTTTCTGCTCTCATAAAGATTTGCAGCCTCGGAAACCCTGCACAGGGTCACTGTGAGTTGGAACTGACTCCACGGCACATAACCACCACCACCAATGTCCATTTTGGAATCCTGGTGCGACACTCTTGAAGCAATGGACCACAATTATGGTGAGTTCAAACTCACCGACCTCTCCTCAGAAACCCTATATAGGGGCACTATGAGTTGGACACTGAACAACAACAGTAATGTCCATTTTAATGTACATCAGAAAAAAAATTAATATTATTTGTCTAAGAATT